TATTATTATTATTATTATATGTCTCTTATCGTCAATTTCTAACCATTTTTCCCAAAGCTATGCAAAAGAAAAACTTTTACTTGGGAAGTTTTTTCTATACATGTACTTGTAAAACAAGCCAAACGCATAAGAATTTACTGTATTGACAAAAGCTCCATATTCCGAATCTACAAATGTAAACTAAGCAACGCAATTCTACTGGCAGAGAACACTGAAGGTGTTTTTGTCAAATACTACAGGACACTTTCAACCAGTTGACACCCTCTACAGTCGTTGAAACCTTACAAGAGACTGCCTGGTTTATCATATTCTTGGAGGCTAGGGAGAAAAGGTCAAACATTACTTCTCATACATCGGAACTCTGGTAAAATACCTTACCATATCGCTGCCTTAGAATTACAGAATTCTACCTGACACTTTTGGCCGTTTTGAGTTACTGAGACCATGAGGTCAGATCAGATCCCAAATGTTCTATCTGCTCTATAAAAATCGTAAGATTATTTGGAGTCGTTATCAAGATATTCAAAGAATTGCAGTCGAAAGACCTTGACATGTTGTTGAACATTTTAAAAAAAATCAAAGTTTTCAAAACCAGGCACTAAGCAGATAGAACTTTGTAATTCTTGGGTAGAGATATGACTACTTGTGTATGTGGTTTTTGACACATTTTACACAATCAAACTCAAGGCGCTTCAAGCTCTGTAAATATAATTCCTTACAACATAAGATCGCCAAACATGGCAGACGACTCTCACTTCAACAAACATCGTCATTAATTTATACATAATAACAGTATTGCAAACATGTATATGTACTTTAAAACAGGCTGCTCTCCGGATTATGTTATGTAAAGACCAAAGTTTATTCTTGCTACTTGGTGTTTCCCTATGATAAAAGTACACATGTCACTCTGAAATCCAAACCAGACCCAATCATTCAGACCCAAATTACACCAAGATACATGCATAGTACGTATCTACCGAATTTACGCCAAGATATAAGAATCTACTCGACTTACTCCAAGATGTAAGTTTCTACCCCACCTATCCAGAGCCAACTCCTTCCCCCCCTTCCCCCTTCCCCTTTCACCTCCCCCTTTCTTCCACCCCCCCGCCCCCATGTTTGTTTGTTTTTCAGTTTTTCTCTAAAGACAGTGTGTTAGTGTGTTAGCAGGTTAGTTCATCTACCTTCTTTGCTAAAGCTTTTAGTATGGCGATAAACCAAGCAGCGTAAGCAATATGCCTGAGCCGACGCATGCCCTCTGAAAAACAAAGAAGAAAAACATGGTTACTCAACTTTTTCACTTTAGCAAGAATTTTACGGCTCTTGCAAAACAATTATGTCATTTAAGTGGTGAAGATTGGAGATGTTACAAGAGAGTAACTTACACAAAATAGATGGAGATGAGATAAGGGCGATAGACAGATGTTTTTAATAGGAAAGAAGGAGCAAACTGATCCAGAGCATCTGCAAACCACCCAGGGTTACTCAACATTTTCACAAATCTTATATTGATTAATGAAAACAGTTTGTTTTACGGTTATACGTTAGATTTGTAGCTAACAACTAGTCACAAATAATAATTATCTGATATTGCTGTTTCTTGTAAGAGATGAATGTCAAAGTCATAATATTTTGTTACACAAGGTATTTACTTGTGCACGAAGAATGTCAAAGTCATATTTGTTATACAAGGTTTTGTAAAATTCTCTTGTAAGAGAAGAATGTCAAAGTCATATTTGTTATCAAACAAGGCTTTGCAATATTTATTAAGGGTCCTCTTTTCTCTGATCTTCTGCAGTTCCAATCATATTCTATCATGAGGAGAACATCAAATTCTTTGTCTGTGGACCTTTGTTACTTTTTTTTTTTCATAGTTAACAAAGAAAGTAAACATTTCATCCTTTAAATGTCCCAAATAGCTATCTTGCCCTTGACTGCCAAGACAGAAAAGAACACAAAAAAATGGTTTTGTTTAGTTTTAATGCAAGTTTTACGTGACTTGCAATACAAAAAGTTCACAATTATACACGTCGAAGATTAATGATGTTACTAGAGAGAAACATGGAAAAAGACGGAGAAGAAATAAATGACAATGACAATTGAAGTTTGATAGGGAAGTGAAGGAAGGAGCAAACCGCACCACAGCGCTCGCCAACCACCCACAATAATACATTACAATACAAGTACAAAACAATAATGTTATTGATAGCAACAACGTTATCAATTGATATAACAACAAATAACAGCAGTGGCATGAACAGGAAAAGATGAAACAGAAAAAGAAGAACAATAAGTGACCAAGATCGCAACAACAACAGTCGAAACAGGGATAAAAACATAAGCATGAACAACAACAATAACAATGCTGAGAAAAAGTTGATTCAATATCATCATAACATCTCATTACAAACAAAAGTAAGAGACAAAAAACCCCAGCAACAGCAGCAGCAGCAGCACCAGAAGCAACAACAACAACAACAACAACAACAATAACAACAACGACAACAATCATATGAACACCAACAGTAGTAACGACAACAATCATAATGAACAACAACAACAACAACACTACCACCACCACCACCACCACCAACAACAACAACAATAGTAACAACAACAACAACAGCAACAACAACAGTAACAACAACAGTAACAACAACAGTAATAACAACAGTGCAAACACAGCTCAGTAGCCACTTACTCGGCCCAGGGAAAGGATATGGCTTGGTGTTTTTCTTCCTTACATTGTCCGTCCTGACGACTGAAACAGAGACAGAGCACAAGCTGTATTAGAAAGGACGTAAAATCTCCACAAATATTGAGCCTTGTAAAACGCAGGCTGTGTTCAAATTACGTAAGTCTGGTGCCTCGCACGAAGTAACTGGAGGTAAATCAAAATGTTTTATTATTAGTTCTTACTGTGTTCATGCATTTTGTATTTTAAGAAGCCATAAGACATCTGTAAAGAATTAACTAAAGCCTAACCCCCCCCCCCCCCAAAAAAAAGCAAACAATTAAAAAAACCCAACCCAAAGCAACAACACACACACACACACACACACACACACACACACACACACACACACACACACACACACACACACACACACACACACACACACACACACACATGTGTGTGTGTGTGTGTGTGTGTGTGTGTGTGTGTGTGTGAGAGAGAGAGAGAGTGTGTTTGAGTATGCAATAGAAATTGGCACCAAAGAAAAACCCACTGTCTCACACTCCATAAACGAAAAAAGACAGAAAATTTCAGGAGCTTAAAAGAGAAAGAATTCTTAAAGCGTTTGTTCACAGTCTATACCCTGATCAAAGGTGAGAAAGGCAATCATGATAATGGTGATTAAAGAGAGATGACGTCAGAACCAGACACCCACCAGCATGGGGGACTCGCGGCGAGTGGACACCCGTCGGACCAGGAAGAGGAGACAGGTGGCCAGCATCTTGATGTTCCGGTCAGCCACATCCGTCAGCGGGTCATTTGAAAGACCATAGTCCACCGGCTTCATCAGCAACTAATGCAGAAAGACAGAAATAAAACTCACTTATATTCATCCATGGTGGAATAATTGTCACTGACGTGTACATATTTTCATGTATAATATACACATGTATTTATATATATATATAGATACTTTCGAAAGAGACAAACAAAACTCACTTATTTAGGGATCAATTGTCTAATTAACGTATATACTTTTTTCTTATGTATTGTCTTTAATGAAACGTTTACTGTCTTTAAGTAAACTTACTATTATATATGTATATAAGTGTGGCTATGTGCATATAGGTAAATGTGTGTGTGTGTGTGTG